TAGCTAACTTGGCTTTATTAAATGCAATCAAAACTAACATTAAAACATATAGAAGGCTACTAATAATTTTCCTCTCACAATATCCAGCAAGAATATTAAATCAATCATACTCTGGTTTAAGGTCATTGTCAGTTTCCAAACTGAAAATTAGCCATTGCTTCCTGATATGGAGAAAAGAGGGCAGTCTCATTATTTTTAGATTTCCTGATTTGTTTGTAGATGATGTGAGCAAAAAGCTGCTTGGATGGATGGAAGGTTGTTCATATTTTGAATGCAACTAGTGAGTAACTACTACAAAAAACAATCAAATGGCCGATGTATACAAGTCACAGGTAGAAATAATTTTTATTATTTAAAAAAAGAGAATGGCTGCCATATATCAATAATAGTGCCTTAATAAACAAAACTATAAACAGATTTGACAAAAGAAATGCATTACTTCCATTGAAAATCTAATCTATACTTATTTACATCCAATTTCAATATGAAGCTTTTAGCTCTCAGGCCATGAAACAGCATATAATCACATTAAAATAAAAACAATGAACCAGAGAGCAAAAGTAACAAAAGCAATATAAAACACAAAACAGCAGCTAACACCAAACTGTTCAATGCTGACTCAGCAGTTCTTGAAAAAGCCAAGCCAGGGAGGACTTCGATGGTGCGTTTGTGGGAAGCCATCAGGAAATTCTGGGGCAGGAAGGTAGGCTGAGACATCAAAAAATCATCCCCCATGCCTTCTGAATGAGCCAGGGCTTTACAGCTCCTCAGAAGTCCAACAATGTGGGTGAGAACAGGATATCCAGGGATGAGTTATCCCATAAAAGGGGGCCTTTATTGAGAAGACTTGCCCTCAGAGTACTTGTAGATGGCATATTCCCTCAAAGAAGGGACCTCCAGCAAGTCCCCTCTTCCTAATCTTACTGCGCAGTCAGATTTAATCTGGAGAATGTAGCAATTTAGGTAGCCAGATCCTATGTCAGAAAGGGCTTGAAAGGTGGTAACCAATACTTGAACTGCATCCAGAATATAACTGGCAGCCAATGCACCAAAGTAGTGGTGTTACATGGACAAAGTTCAGTGTGTCTATAATTACATGGGAAGCTCTATGTTAGAGCAGCTAAAATTTAGGAATGATTTTCAAGGATCGCTCCACATGGAGCAAATTGCAATAGTCCAGCCATGAGATGATAAGAGAATTGTATGGTCTTGCCAAGAAAGCAACATGGACATCTCCATGTAATCACCAGGAGTCAAGATCAACTCAAGGGGACATGACCTGGGGGGAACATTAAATGAAGCCATGCCTAAACATTGTTTCAACCTTACTATAAAAGAGGCTACAAAGTGGAGCCTCGCAGTCTGAACACTGAACAGATTTTATCCTGCATACGTATATTCTTCACAAAGCATGGAAGATAAGAAGCAGTATATCTCTCCAGTTCTTTCAGCAAGGATTGGAGATATGAAGTTCTTGGTGCTCTCTGAGCTTGGTTGTTTGCTTGCACATGCTTCACTACCCAACTAGATAACATTATCAGTGCAACGGTGGTAGTTGGGTAATGAAATGTCTGTTAGCAAATAACCAAGGTCAGAGAGCACCAAGAACTTCACAGTTCAATCCTGACCTACAGATATTCTCTTCTATTGGAAATATATTCAGGGGTAAGCTTTGAAGCAATAGTTCAAATGTCTTCTTCCATCACCTAGTTGTCTAGTGGGGCTTTAAGCACTGTATAAGATTGTGTTTTATACAGCATTGCATTAAATGGTCTGGGTAGGGATGAAATTGCCAACACCTCTCACCATTGTTTGTGCCACCTGGGCTGTTAGGTTTTGTAGCTCAGCACCTTCTAGAAGGTCTCCTCTTTTTGAGGAATGAGAAAAAAGGGGACTTGCTGGCTTATGATTAAGCAACACAGATAATACTGTCCTTAGCTGCACTCAGTTCACTTTTTCTGTCCTGAATATTATTCTCACGTCCTCACTGGACATGTAGGTATGTATGGAATCTCTCTTCCTCTGTGATGCTTAAAAGGATGTTTTATACAGGAACTTTATTGGTCCAAAGGTTCAATGAAACTTCAGAGAGTGATCCCTTCCAGACATAATTGTTTGATGTTTGAATGAAACAAGAGGTCTATTCTTACCTGTATAAAATGCATAAATTGACTTTGGAACAGCTTTTTAGCTTCAGATTTGCTGAGTTTGCCCTCGGCATCTGCTGCATTATCATAAACCAAGGCTGCTGTAGCCACAGCTTTTTCTAGATCAGAGCTTTTTCCTAGTGCTGACAAGGCAGGGGGGGAGGGGGGAAACAAAAATATATGGAGGATGACAAATCAGTATAAGGCTACAGGAGCTTTCCTCAGGATCAGGGCTGATTCGGTGAATAGCAGGGGGGAGAAAACTAAGATAAGGCAGGTTTCAGGATCAGAAGTCAGGTCTGAGAGACCATCAACATTGACTTGCCTGGTATCTTGCAATTTCCTGATACAATAATAGTTTTGTTTAATGCTAGAACAGTTCTGAACCCTAAGAGGGGACACTGACGCCTATGTATACATGAAACCAGATTTTAGACTTCAACCCCTTGAATTGCCTCATTATTGCTGAATATGACTCACCAACATCTACAGATTATAGCGGTAAATGTTACACATACCTTTCCTTCTACTCCATATGTAGGTAGGGTATTCTCAGAGTAGAAACTCCTTGTTCTAGGCTCCCTTTGAATCTGTGTATCTATGGATGTGTGTGTGCACGTGCACGTATGGAAGTGGAGAGTTCTTGTGGCTGTGAGTTCTGCCACCTGTGTTCTGGACCCATGCCCTTCCTGGCTGGCCAATGCCTCCTGGGAGGTGGCATGTGGTGGGGTCCAAGTGGTAGTTAATGCCTCTTTGTGGGAAGGGGTGGTTCCACCTGCCTTGAAGGAAGTGGTGGTTTGCGCCTTCTCAAGACGCCATCCTTACACCCAACTGTATTGGATAACTTTTGTCTACTCTCCAACCTTCCTTTTTAGGGAAGGTTATTGAGAGGGTGGTAGCTCAGTTCCAATAGGCCATGGAGGAAGTGGATAATATGGCTCCCTTTCATTCAGGGTTCAAGCCAATTTATAGTACAGAGACAGCATTGGTTGCACTTGTGGATGACCTTTGGAAGGCTCAGGGTGGAGTGGTATGTCCATCCTAACTATGCTGGATCTCTTGGTGGCTATCAACCATGGTTTCCTTCTGGACTGGCTTAGAGGGTTGTTCTGTGGTGGTTCTCCTTCCTCCATGTCTGATTCTAGTGGGTGTTGAGGGGGGGAAATCTAGTTCTTGGCATTTTCCCTCAGGTGTTGGCCAGGATTGGAGATGAGCCCAGCACTAGTGTTTTTGAGATGATAGTGTTATGGCATTTGGTGGTATGTAAGAGTTTTTAAGCCTTGTATATTTTATTATTTGCATATTTGATTGCTAGCTATCCAGGGTTATTTACTCAATATGGGTGGCCATATACTTTTTTCATACACATACACACGCACATACACTAATAATAGAGACATACTGCTTTGTGATGTCTTTGTTGTAATAAGCTAATTGCACTTCTGCCATGGACTTCAGGAGAAGCTGTTCCCATTACTGACTGCACAGCCTGGCATTACACTGGAAAAAGTTTGGAGGAAGAAATCCAATCCCCAGAAGAATTGGCAGAACCTTTCATTTTGGAAGAAGAATGATGTGTGCTTTGTGTAGTGGTGACCAATGTAATTACTAGGTTTAATAGCGTCCCCTAACTAGGGGTGGAGAGAGGAGAAAAATAGCATAGACCACCTTACCCTTTATAGAAGCCAACTGCTTGGAAATTGGAATGCTGGAAATTAAACAGAGAGATGTTGATTCACATATCTCACAGTTATTTTTTCTTAGAAATAGTTTTTTAAATTACTCTCTTTCATGGGGCATGAACACAGTATTAATTACAGTAGGAGGTTTTTAATATTTCTTATACGTATTACTTTAAAAAAGAACGGCCTTCGGTGTTTGGTGGGCAGAAATTATAATAAATAAATACAAAAGACTAATTCAGGCAATCTGATTCCATCACATTGAAAAATGCAAGTTTTCCACTTACTTTATAATGTAAGCATATGTTTTTGTAAGTATGCGTTTATGTAGCATTCCAGCTTCAATTAAGGTCTAAATGACTTACTTGGGGAAGTTCTTTTTTCAGATCCAAATCTATTTCTGACAACAATTCCATGGAATCACTGTACAGGTGGAGAAAATCTCTGTGTAGTGCTTTGCTGAGTATTGTGGGATTTAACAACAAGCAGCACTTCATGGAAATGGGCCTGCTGTCCTCCAGGACAGCGGGGAGAATTTTGGAAAGCTTTGCCTCTACTTGAGATGCTTAGGGTGATATCCAGCTCCAGAAAAACTGTTATTAGGGCCAATCCTACAATTAGGCAGAACCAAGCGCTAAACTGAGAGCAACTCACCTTTCTCCTGAGCCATAGGTTGGCGTGGCCTGCCAATTCAGTGTCTCTTTCTAAGACCACATCAAAGGTATTCTGGCTGCCTGATCCTTTTGCTGCAAAGCAAATTGGTCTTTGGAGCAGCTGATTTCTCTGATGCCTTCAGGGTTGGCTATCATTGCAGTAAAACAGGGATGGGGCTCTTGAGAGCATGTATCAGATCCAGTGCCTTGTTCTGAAGATTCCACAGATTCACAGGGTCGGCCATATTTGCCAAGGTGGGAGATAGTAGCTGGTGTCAAGTATGACACCAATTAAATATAAGAAGGGGCAGATAACCAAGCAACACAAAAACCTGGGAGGCAAGCAAATATATCTTCTTCTGGTTGAATGAAACAAATGTCTCATAGGGTATGAAAGTTGGCTTGTTTAACCATAGTTAGGCTTAACCATTGTTTTGGATTCAGGTTTAAAGCTAAATTGAGATCCACCAGAATCAAATTAGAAGCTTCTAGGTCTTCGTAAGCATGCCAGAGAAGAAAGACCAAGTGAAGGCTAGGTTCAATCTTGTAATGGTGCATCACTATTTATTGTTACCTTTCCACTCTCTGATTTATTATATTTATATCTGGTCCTTACTGTGAAAAAAGTAAGGAAATTTTATTCTTTGATTTCCTTACCACATATTGTCTGTAACTGCAATATGGTTTGAGGGCAGGAATGAGCACCTGAAGTCCCATTTTCACAGCCACTGGAGTGTCCCAAAATCATACGCCAAAATTCATCAGCCAATCATTAATTTTTCATTTACGCTTGGTTTAAGGCAAAAAAAAAAAAGTAAAATGGGTGCCTTAAACCTCTAGTTACGTTTAATGTCCCAGTTTTGCATTCAAAACTCTTCCCACTACTAAAAGCACTAAAAAGAGGCTGGAAAATTTCAACCCAATCCCTCTACTGGTGTCACTGGGTCACCATCAAGTGGTGGTTTATCCCTTGGAGACATAAAAATATTAGTTGCATAGGTGAGGGTAGTGGTATGTATCTTGGACAAAACCCAGTCTGAGAGGATGCAGTTAATAAAATGACTGCTCTTCCATGTCCCCTTGTGATCTTTTTCAGCTTCTCTTCTTTAACACTGAATAAATGATCTGGTTTGTTGGAAAAGGTGGCCCAGTGGTCGTGTGAGGTCTGCACTTACATGCAGTCCAGCAGGACCACCCGTGTCAGGACAGCTCACATTTCAAAAGCAAGCATGGGATACAAACATGAAAGAAAAAAAGTAGTAATTGTTGCTTTTTAAAAAAAAATTAAAAAGCTGAAGAGTTCTTCTTCTTTAAAAATTAATATAAACTATAATTAGTTGGGGAACATTCTTAACAATAAGAGCAGATTAACAGTGGGACCGAGTATTTAGGGTTGGTGAGCTCTACTGCACTGGGTGTTAAACAGAAGTTGTGATCTATCTGTTGGGTGTGCTTTAATCTGGATTTCTTTACTGAACAGGGAGTGGAACTGGATGGTTTAAGGGGGCCCTTCCATCTTTTATGATAGCAAATCTTTTTTGACTAAAGTGCTAGAAACCCATAAAATCAGTCTACAAACTCTGAAACCTTGGTCCTTTTCTCTTTTCTCTCGTGCACAAAAACACACAGTGAAAGGATAAATCAAATGGAGAATGAATGTGAGGCTCCCAGGGAGGAAATATTCCTCTTGATTCTCACTTACCGTTTGGATGTTTTCTTTGAAACTTTGGTTGAAGAAACATCCTTTGGATGATTTAGAGAATATGATGTAGTCCCCGTACTAGACGCACAGCCACACATCTTTTCCTACAGCTTGGCCACTAGTGTTTATGATCTCTAAGCAACTGAAGGACTTGCAAACTGGCAAACAGAACCCTTTGTGCTGTGAAGACAGCACAGTCATGGAAATGTTCCTGGTCACTGGGTTGCGGTAAAAAAAATCAGTCTGAAGGGAAATACCAGAAATCCAGAGGAGTTGTGACTTAAGATGTTTGTACATGATGCAGAAAGTGCTTTTAAATCCTTTTTGCATGGTTTATATACATTTCTGAATGCTAATTCAAGATTTCAAAAACAGGAGGAAATGAAATCTAGTGCATTACACTCAATACAGCTACAACATTTGGATTTCATATCTGGACATTCATTACATCCTAAACACATTTGCCTGGGAGGAAGTCCATTAAACTTAAGGAAGGTTGTTTGTTGTGCTTTTAGTCAGTTTTGACTCCTGGTAACTACATGTACAAATCTATGTAGTTTTCCTAGCAGCATTTTTCAGAAGTGGGTTGCCATTGCTTCCTTCCTAGGGCTGGGGGGTGGGGTTGGCCCAAGGTCACCCAGCTGGCTTCATGCCTAAAGCAGGGCTTGAACTCCCAGGCTCCTGGTTTCTAGCCTGGTGCCTTAACCACCACACCAAACTGGCTGTCTCAAAGGAATATATAAAAATTTAAAATGAGCCCTGTGGGATCAGGTTAATGGCCCGTCTAATTCAACATCCTGTACCACTTAACAGCCAACCAGTTGTTTCCAGGAAATCCACAAACATGGACAGGAGAGTGATACCTTTATTTCCACTCTTGTGGCTAGCTGGTTTCCAAAGCTGTGATTCCAGAGGCAGCCAACAGCCATCAAGACTAGTAGCCCAGTTCTCCACGAAGTCATACAATCCTTTTTTTCATACTGCCTTCATTGATGGCCTTCACTGCATTGGATGGCAGCAGAACCCACAATTAGACTATGCACTGTATAAGGAAGTCATTCTGAATCTCCTTGCATTGAGTTTTACTGGACCACCTTGAATTTGAACATTGCAAAAACAAAGAACAAAAACAAACAAAAATGAAAATGGTATCTAGCTTCATTTTCCACACCTTACTTACTTACTTAGTTACTTATTTAAGATTTGTACGGCTGCCCATCTCAAACACATGACTCTGGCCTGCTAACATTATTAAAATATTAAAATAAGAATACACACACACACACACACACACACACACATATACATATATAAAAATAAAAAGGTAGCACCTGGAAACAAATCACAAAACAGTCATTAACAGATATACAATACTTGCCTATATATTATATTCTTCTCCCCTTTCTTGCTGCTGCTGAATTCTCTTAATAACATTGGTGGGGGACCTTGTCTTGGGTTTTTTAAAAATGAATGAGTTGCCACTGTCTATATGTTTGTTGGTAGCTTCAAAGGGTCAGTGAGACAAAACTGATCTTTGTAACAGCCACGTTGATCCTTTTACCATGACAATCATTCTTCTATATGCTTCATTATTTTTCCTTTATAACAGTTTTTGCCATTTTACCAAAAATGGTAAGATAAATAGATGATAATTTCCTTTATTGTCCTCAGATGCCAATCTTAAATTATGTAAATCATTGCATAATTTTGACAGATCAACCACTTTACTTGGTTCTTTAGGAAGCTTGGGGTTAATACTATCTAGACCTGGGCATCTATTAGGTTTAATCTGCCAGTTTAGTTTGCAACTTCATGTCCTAAAAAAAAAAAAAAAGTATTAATCTGCTGCAGCAATTTAGCTTTAACTGAGTCATTGAAGCCTCAGAGTCAAAGTGATCTCCAGATCTTGGACATAGCCTCCAGAGCTCTGCAAAACAACTCACTGAATTATCATATTTCATGTAACAGAAGAAGTTATTAAACATGCGGGAAGTCATTTGGATTTAATTAAGTTTAATATTTGTCCTGGCCCAGCTCACGTCTTCATCCTGGATCTGGTTACTATAAGGTTATAGCAACAGAATCCTATGAGTCTGAATGGGCTTCCCCCCTTTATCTTCGTGAGAACTAGGGAGGGACTTGTCTGAGACGTTTTCTCAGGTTACAGATCTGCCCCGGACTTAGGTTTTTCCTTTTAATCTGACCATTGACTTGGTAGCAGCTCTTTCTCCTGTCCCTCAAGATTTCTTCTTTCCATCACATTGGTCTACTTGCTAATGGTGTGTCCTGCCACTCACATGTTCAGGGACTGTGAGAATGGACTCTGTGTGCATGTGTTGGCTCTGGGGGACCATGGGGTTGTGTTTGGTGGGAAAATGTATGTTTGTGAAAAGGGTTAGACTGCCTGGCTATTGATTTTATATCATCTATATCTGTCTGTCTGTCTGTCTGTCTGTCTATCTATCTATCTATCTATCTATCTATCTATCTATCTATCTATCTATCATCTATCATCTATTTATCTATCACCTATCTATCTATTTATTATCGACCAACCGACTGACCGACCGACCAACCGACTGACCTACCTACCTACCTACCTACCTACCCAGAGTTGCTGGGAGTCAGATGGCATATAAATTTAATTTGTTGTTGTTGTTGTTATTATTATTATTATTTCTATCAATCTATCATTTCTATCTCACATTGCTGAAAATTGGGTCACAGTCAAGGGTGGGTCTGCAAGTTGTAAGCTATCTGTTCTTGAGTGGAAGTCAGAGCAGACACAGATGTTGACAACCTTCATTTTTTCCACTTTTCTGGACTAGTTATTTTTGCAGAATCTAGGAAAAGATGGTCCTTTTCCCCACCCATTTTTAGTGCTGATCTTTCAACACATGTCTCCTCCCATGCTGTAATTGTTCTTAGATTTCTGGTGCCTTCTTTAGGGAAAGCCTATGAAAAGATAGCTTATAATTGCAGTGTCATTGTCAACACGCTTATAATCCATGTTCATTATCCCTTCAATTAATACCCAGAAATTACATCGAAATGGAGCTGCTCTCAGCTTGAAAACAAGAGAAGGTTTTGACATTAAGTGTGAGATGTGGGGTTTTTTCCCCCCATTTGAATCCTGTAACAAAGCATGTGAAGCTTTATATCTGAGTCTGAGTTAGATGGCAAGCTACTGAGAAGGTTGAGTCACTGTCCTAGTTCCAAGTTACTGCTCCCAGCTGACAAATGATCTCTCAGTGATGCATGGCAATTCACTCAGGAAACTTAGGAGGCTAAGAGCTGTGGTTTGTGATGTAACATTGTCAGGGCAGATATTGAACAACTGGTTAAGTACATAGAAAAGGTGTAGCAAGGCTATGTGAACCAGACCAGATATCAGCCCTTCTAGGTAGGCCAGTCTAGGAAATCAAAGTCAGCAGGCCAATATTACTTTCATTATAAGGTTATAGCAACAGAATCCTATGAGTCTGAATGGGCTTCCCCCCTTTATCTTCGTGAGAACTAGGGAGGGACTTGTCTGAGACGTTTTCTCAGGTTACAGATCTGCCCTGGGCTTAGGTTTTTCCTTTTAATCTGACCATTGACTTGGTAGCAGCTCTTTCTCTTGTCCCTCAAGGTCATTCCTTCTTCCCATTACATGGGTCTACTTGCTAATGGTGTGTCCCGCCACTCACATGTTCAGGGACTGTGAGAATGGACTCTGTGTGCATATGTTGGCTCTGGGGGACCATGGGGTTGTGTTTGGTGGGAAAATTTATATTTGTGAAAAGGGTTACTGCCTGGCCATTGCTTTTAATGTGCCAAAAAAAAAAAAAAAAATCATTTAAAGCCTTCCATCGTATCTATGTCTTCTGTCCCCTACCTTTTTGAGAGAAGTCATGATGTAAGTAGGCTTACATAGGAAAGAAAAAGAAATGCTCAAAACATGACTTTAAAATGGTGGCCAGAGTGGTAACCTGAAGCAGCTCTCTGAATCCTAATTACAGCTTCTCTAATGAATCATTAAAGCATTTCAATTATGAGTTTTGGAAGGTACGTTTGGAACTTTTTCACAAAATATTAAAATACAGCTTGATTCTTTGTGTAATTAAACTCTTTGGTTTCTTTAGCTACGGTAGAGCTTTCCTAATAACTAAAGAAATTATTAATTAGATATATATCTAATTTGTACAGTGGAATGGCTGAGTGCCTTGGATGGATGTCTGAAGGTCTTGAACCACCTCTCCCCAAAGCCCTGTGAGTCCTCGTACCCTGGCCCCACTTCCTGACCTGGCAGAAGTGACTTTGGCATTACCTATGCTACCACATATAAGACAGCTCACCCACGTCTTCCCCCTAATATTGATATGTGAGAAACGAAGGTCTTTAACAACTTGCTCTGCCTTTCTAGAGATAGAAAAGGAAAAAAAGCCAAAAGCTAAATAATGCCTAAGTTATATACAGTGTCTGGCTATATAGTGTCAAGACATGCAGTTAGAGGAATCAGTCCTTCCCCTACCCCAAAGATAGATCAATCTTACAAGAGATAAATAAAATCAAACTTTGAGAAAGTGGAAAAGATAAAACACATTTTCGAAAAAGAGGACTACAGAGCTGCTTCGTTTATGGGACAATAGCAGCTTGTGACTTTGGTAGCATGCAAGATATATTTTAAAAATGGTGTTGTACGGTTGTGGCAGCCATATTGATTTTTTTGACCCACCCCTGCAGACACCCTGCTGTTCAGGAGTGGAAGTACAATCTAGAGAAGTTGAATAAAAGAACCATTTTCTGCTAACAACACATGGAAACATTATTTATAAGATTACTTTCTTATAGAATGTTTCAACAACACTTTTTATTCTTTCTGATAAATAGCATCACAATTCTTCTGTGACATTTTAAATGGCTTCTAAAGAAACTGCTTGTTTTTGAAAGGGGAAAGAAATCTGCTTCCTCCTATAGCAGATTAGTGAGCTATTTTATTTTCTTTAGCAAGGGACTGGATTTAAGCATGCAGCTTTATTAAATTATTTTTTGCCTAGAGGCATTTTGATAGGAAAATCAATGAACATATTAAGTATTCAGAATAAATATCCAATAA